CGATGGAAAATAGGATCTCAACCACAGTTGAGTGAACCAAAGAGGTCCACTGCCAGTAGGAGATGCACCATTCTTCAATTGAGCCTGAAGAAAAGTCATACCTCTATAAAGGGCAGCCAAAAATAAAGAACATAAATTCAAAGGCCTGCCACGCGCCAATTCGTGCGCTATAGGTAAATAACTCAGAGAAGGCTTTATACTTGGCACGCACAACACATATTTACAAAGCCAAACTAAAAGGAAGGCCACTCGCTCAGTATGGGTAGGCTCAGCACTCGAATGATTATGGAGGGTCTGGAGGCTTGAATAAGAATCGGTGTAGTTTTTATCGAATTGTGGGGCGCCACCAGAAACTAAGATACCTGGGAAAATGGTATCGCCCAAAGGTGGTAAATTCACCAGGGCCCCAACATCCCTTAACGTAATAGACATGGGGCCAAGAGGAAAAATGAAGGTGTTATACTCAGGGGACCAAAAGCTCAAAGCAATCGAAAAGAGCGCTGAATCAAAAGTAGGGGGGCGAATAGAGACTTCTAACAAATCAGAAATCCTAGCGCTATCAAAAAGTGCCTTAGTAGGACCATGGCCCACAAGGCGAGCATGCCACCTACGAAAAGCTACATCAGATTTAGGCCAAGTGCGAATACCTCTTTCGCGAAGTGGCCCCAGTGGCAAAGAGTTTAGAAAAGGAGGGCCATGAGTGCAAGGAAACAGCTGACCCACCGCCGCCTGTTCAACTGCCTCCGCATTGTTGAAGAAAGGACCCAAGTAAAACTCATTACGTCCAACGTCGGCGGGTGCGAGAAAACTTGGGGTTATGTATGGGCGACTCAGAAGTTTCTGAAAGTCATCAAAACTAAAGGAATCGCTAGCTTGAGATTGTGAAGCAGCCATTGGAGAATGAACGAAGCTTCTCAGGGTTACGTAACAAGGAAGCAAAAGATGAATAGTGAATCGTGAAAGAGATGCAGAAAATATGAGGCGTGGTTTGGTAGCAGTGAAATAACGTGTTTGGGGTTTATAAGGGTTTGCAAAACGACGCACTTTTTCAAGTTATAGAAGGAAACAATGATTGAAATTCTTGGGAATTTCGAACGTCGCTGGAAACATGAAGTGAATATGGCAAAATTCAATAATTGTTATTAATTATGCCATATTGGGGGGTAATTGTTGACACATAAAAATTCAGCCCAAATCGAACAGCCCAAGGGGTAAAGCCCAATTGAAGGATCCCCAAATCGGATAGTCCAAAGAACGAAGTCCAATCGAACGAATCAAGGTGAAGGCCCAAATAAGGGGCCCAAGAATGCGGTAACGCCATCGCCCAAGTTTGCAAGTCGCCCAGAATCTGAACGAATGGAGTGTCATACGGTCGCCCAGAGCTATTATTCTACTCTCGCCCAAACCTCCAAGTCGCCCAAAGTATCAACAAACATAACGCATCGTGGTTATCAAGGAATGCAGTTATCAAGACAGTTGTTAAAGTAGCCTTATCACGTTCCACGACTCAAGGAATTCAATCGAAAGCGGTTGAACGATGAAAGATAATGGCAGCAGTTAAAAGGCAGTTTCATGACAAAATGGCCACTACAAAGAAAGTGGGTAGTTATAGGACGATCAAGCAGTTTTTAGAGTAGTTAATCACAAAAAAATCGTCTATAAGGTATAAAAGGGAGAAAGGACGCAGAAGCAAAGGACTGAATCCAAAACACTCGAACAGAGAATATGTAATTTTCATTTCTTTAACTTTTAGACTTAAACACTTTTCTTTCTATAACTCGTGTGCTTGCGCCCCTTGGAGGCACGCTGTTTTTCATTTTCAATTGTAAAGTTCATCGCCAATAAAAGAACACCCCTTTTTGGGACTTTGTCTCAAGAGGTTTCGTCCCTTACACAATCGTCTGATCCTTTTTAATTGTTAGCGACTTAACCCGCGCGAAACAGAAGGCAAACAGGTCCGAGGTTGCCATACTTCTTGTGCTCAAGTGTAAACGAACGACCGGTCTGTGTGTATATTTCATTCAAATAATTGATTTATTAAGTGCAAAAATTATTTGCAAATAAATAATACTATTTGCAGTTTCTCACTCTCGCAATCATCATACGTGTTATACACGTGACGATTAGTGATTTATTGCATAAGATAATAAAAAATTATCACATTAATGTAACAAATCACTAACTATTACATGGATACTGGATAAAACAAACATGTCAGTGAATTACAGCAAATAACATTACTCAATGCAAATCTACTTTCATTAGCTTGGTTAGACAAAAAGATTGTTGACTTTATATAAAGTAACATTTATAGAATGAATTAATTACATAATACCACGTGACAATCTATTATTTATTATATTAAAATACAATCAATTTTTTCATTCAATATTTACCCTTCACATCATATCATGTAATCCATATTTTTTATGTACAAGTAACAAAATCCAACAATATATGATAAACATGAATGTTCATTAAAAATGTATTTTTCTCTTTCTTATTTCCAATTGTTCAGTTTTAACTATACATTTTTCAAAAAACCACTAATCTAAAACACATTTTGTTGACATCCTAAAAGTGCAGCCCAATTCAAATAGCCCAAAGAATGAAGTCCAATTGGGCGATTCAGGATAAAGGCCCAAATAGGGTTATTAGTGAATGCAGTGGAAGCCCACGAACGCAGTAACACCATCGCCCAAATTTACGAGACGCCCAGGGTCTGAGCGAATGAAGTGCCTTGCAGTCGCCCAGAGTTATGACCCTGTTCTCGCCCAAACTTTCGAATCGCCCAGAATCTTAGCAAACATGAGATGTTATGATTATCCAAAAATGCAATTATCGAAGCAGTTATTGGGTAATCTTATAACGTTCAACGATTCAAGGATGTTGAATTGAGGACAGTTGAACGACGAAGAGTAATGGCAACAGTTAGAGACGACAGTTTCATGATAAGTTGGCCACCATGAAGAAAGTGGACAGTTATAAAGCAGTTAAGCGGTTTCTAAGTGGTTGATCACAAAGAGAGCATCAAAGGAATATAAAAAGAAGAAAAGACATAGAGCAAAGGACCCCGAATCAAACACTCTCAAACAGAGAATATGTAATTTCAATTTCTTAGTTTAGACTTAAAACATTTCTTTTCAGTACTCGTGTGCTTGTGTCGCTTAAAGGCATTTCTGTTTAAGTTCCAATTGTAAAGTCATTGCCAATAAAACACCCCTTTTTGGGACTTTGTCTCAAGAAGTTTGTCCCTTACACAATCGTCTGATCCCTTTTTAATTGTTAGCGACTACCCGTGCGAAACAATTTGGCACGCCGAGTGGGACATTGGTGTTTGGTGTTGAAGATACAAAAGGTGAAACAATATACCTCAGAAATCCAATAAGGAAACAGCAAGCCAGGGAGGAGTCCAGTCTGTGATCGAGCGATATGAGGAA